CACTCTCCAGGGGTACTTGGACTGGAGCAGCAAGAGAGGCGGCCCTCATCATCTCTAACTCCCAAAATGTATGTGACATTAGCCAAGTATAAACAGATACATACACACACACGCGCGCACATACATAGGTTGAACTAGATGGACCTGTGCCTTTATTCAACCTTACTGTACCTTACTTTCTACTTAACTAGAAATCAGCAAAACTAGTAAAATTTTGTATGGGGCAATGTGATTTCTAGTTACACCCCTTGCAGAGCCCACCTGAGATCCCACATAGCCCACCTGAGATTGTCCCTGCAGAGCCCACCATATACTCTTTATGGTGGGCTCTGCAGGGTCTCAGGTGGGCTGGTCACTGCCCTGCACACCTCTTACCTGTCAGCCCCGATTCACTGTCAGCATACTCCACCGCCAATCCCCACCTGCTCCTCGGCCGATGGCGTGTCCTGTCTCCTCCTCCACCGACCGGCGGGCATGACCTCTTCCTCCACCGCCACGCCCCAGCCTCCTCCACTGCAGCTGCTGGCTGTCACTGACTCAGCAGCGGCTCTGAGGAGGAACATACCACTGCACAGACCACTGACAGGTTGTCAGTAATCTGGACAGCGGCGCATTCCTCCTCATAGTGACAGTGACAGCCAGCAGCTAGCGACCCAGGCGGCCCACATGGCATCAGGGGGACCGCTTTGTTCCTCGTCCTGTGCCCCAGGCCCCATAGTGGCCACCTATGGCGATAGTTTCACCACTGCTTACCTACAATGTTACTATGTTTTCTGATAAACTGCAATGTAAATACATTTTTTCTATGTTTTTCTACATAGTGAGTAGTGATGTCATCTGCCGCTGTCCATAGCCCTAGGGCGTTGTTAACGGGAAGAGAGTTCACACCCACCAGATGGAGAAAAAAAAAAGGCATAACCTGGAGCTTTGTAGTAAAAAAAAAGCAGATATATTCATGCAGATATATTCATGCATGCTAAAGAATGTGTAACACTTTCAGGTCATTTTATTTTACAGATAATACAACACTACCCTTGGCAATGCCTTCACCTGCTTTCCTCTCCAGAAGAACGGCACCAATTTTGTTCAGGCATCATCCAGGATCAGCATCTATATCCTGGACTGAGATCGTGCCTCATAGATGACACAATCATGGAAATCCTGTGCAGTTGTGCCGTCCTGTACACAAATGCCTGACACAGATGTGACTTGCCACAATGTTGCAGGCTGATCACTGGGGGGAGGGGGGGGGGAGAGAGATTGAGGAAATGCCTCTTGCCTGCAGTGGATTGTTGGGATTATCTAGGATTAGACTAGGAAAAGTTACTGACTGGAGCATTACAAAATGACAGTCAGACAGTGGAAGCAGGCTCGGAGTACATGGCATGTCAGGAGTACGTTCCACGAAAACATTTGAATGAAAAAACAGAACCTGTGCAGTTAATGAAATGTCAGCAGATGGTAAGTCCTTGTCCTGTTTGTCAGCATTACATTAGTAAATGAAGAAGTAAAGCTGAGCCTGTGGATTACATAGATCCTAGCTTTTGAGATGAGATTCTGGCCAATTCCTGCTGAATTGGCCAAAATCTGGGCTGTGGTTGGCCAGCCTAAATAACACATTTCAAACGCCTTATTTACCTGTTCCTTTTTAACACCCCCAATCACTGCCAACTTCCAGGTTGATTAAAGGCCAGCATCATCCAAGCTCTTCCAGAGCAACCCCAGGCTCACAAAACTGCAACACTGAGCATTGATCACGTTATTACAAAAGCACAGTTTATTGCCGCAGTAAGGACCGCCCAGCACCAACGCCAGCCAAGTGGAACAAAGTCCCATGATGTCACTGGACTGACCAGGTGTATTTAAAAAGTATGCATTTAGAAAATTTAAAAAGCGTGGGGGAAGGGAGGAGTATGGGAGGTAGGGGGCTGGAGTTACCCTTTAATATCTCCTGTAATTAAGAAGAGACTAGGTAAGCTGTGTTCTTTAAAGTTTGCCTTTCTGTTGAAGTATTTGTTTACAAACTTTTGTGCTCACAAAACTAAAGAAATTTGTGTATATGCAATTTTTCCCATTTACTTCACAGTGCAGTGCAGTGTGTATTATACATGGGGGGGGGGGATGGGGAGGGGGGTTAGATTACAAACAATGCTGTCAAATACACACTGTGCTGCACAGTGTAGTAGAATGATACAATTTCATGGTGTGTATTATATTTTTTACCTGCATTAATATAGTACGAAAGACATGTCTTTAAATGAATGAAGTTAATATTTCCTTATGATAAAGGTTCAGTGATGTTGGCAGTCTCTAATGAATAAGATCTCAGAAGAAGAATCTCAGTATTGTTGCTGATCTCTGGTGAGTGGTTAAGATACATATTTTATGACGTCACCCGTCTCCAACTGAGTGGATAGGTACAATCTCAGTCTTAGTAACGTTGTTGATCTCTAGTGAATTATCACTTTAACTCAGTAGAGGTAATATACTAATACTCAGCCGGCAGAATCTTGAGAAGCATAGAAAGCAATCAGCTTCTATCTTCAGCTTGTTGAGTTAAAGGAGAACTATGAGGTGAGTGAAAATCACACAACCTCATAGTTCGAGCCGACGTGTGACAATAAAACTGTCACACGTCGGATCAATAGATTGGGAAGGGAGCGATTCTCCCTTCCCTGCTCCTCCAGCGCTGACTGGCGGAACAGATGGGGGAGGGGGCAGGTACAGCTGACTCTGCCTCTAATAGGCCAGCCGTCACTCATGCAGCTGGGTGGATCGACAGTAATGTTGGGATCCGTCCCGGGTGCGGCGGTCTCAGTATACCGCGAGCTGTAGCTTGCGATATACTGAGCTTTGCGTCATGGGAGGATGCTAGTATATGTCCTATATGCCCTTAGGAGAACTATGGGGAAAAACACTTACCCCATAGTTCTCCTTTAAGTTTGAAAATGAAAGCTAGAAGCTGATTGATTGTCATGCACAGCTGCTCCAGTCATCGTAAATTCCCCTCAAAGAGATTCAAAACAGTTTGAGGACATGGGAACAGAGTGGACACTCAGATGTTTCATGATCTGTTTATTCAGCACTCCTGGCATGGCTCTCCTTTGATTTAGGCACTGGGCCTATAAAACCACAGTTCAGAGATACTTCGATTTGTAGGAACAAATGTCCTTAAACAATGGATGAATCAACCAGGTACAAAACAAAGTTCAGAAATACACTGGACCCTATTTGTTTATTGTGATGAATACCGGCTGTACTCCAGCTTAAACTTTCCAGATCTCCTTCCTCCTCCCTACCTTTATCCCCTCTCTCTTTTTCTTCTTCTCTCCTTCCCTTTAGAGGTACCACTCAGCACTTACTGTCTCCTTCCATTGCTTACCTAATCCTCCCACTCTCTCACCATGTAATGCTAGACATGCTTAGGACACTGTTACATTGTACCCCATCGGGAACTGGAATGTTTACCACCCTCACCAAGTTCCAGTGACATATTCAGGGTATGGCATATTTGCTCTGGGCACCACTTGACCCACGGAGACAGCAGGCTGCTGTTGTCATTATTCATTTTCTTTTACCTTTTCCCTCACCTCAAGCTTCCTTTTTCTCCCCACCCCTCTACCATACAGATCTCCAAGCCCAGTTCTTGGCACCCAGGGGCGCTCTGGCCCACATCCCACCTTGCCAGTATGGCAGAGCAGGGCGAGACATCGACCTCTGGGCCATATCCCGAGAGACAGACTAGGAGTCAAGCTGTTCATTATTTCTCACCGACAACTTTATCAGGAAAATATTGCCAGAGAGACCTCAGTGAAGATCTCAACCATCATTTATTTCAGAAACCAAATTTGTTGGGATGTTTTCAGGAGGACAATGATTTAACTAATCTTTTCCAACATTAACTGTCAGGTAAACAGAAATGAAGAAACACAAAACAACAGAATGAAGCCCAACAAGAGAAAAATGAAAGAAAAAAATATATAGTTATTTAAAATCCCAGGGATTGAAAATGAATGAAAGGAAGGATTCCGCAAACAGTCCGAAACCCCAGATTCCGGAATGCATGAAAGGACGTTAAAGCAGAACTACACTTACAAAGAAGACTTAGTTTTGTAGAACACTGTAAGTAAAATAACATTGTCACCCTATGAATAAAGTGCCTGTGGATACATCTCACTTGTATCTCACTGGTATAATTTAACTGAAAGACGACATATTAAAAATAAAATGTTTTGACATTACAGGAAGCTGTACAACAGCATATTTGATTTAAGGTTTAAGTTTAGACACACTTTTAAGGAGAACTATGGGGGGAGTGTTTTTCCCCATAGTTCCCTGTAGGGTCACGGGAGGACATATACTAACCTCCTCTTGTAACCCAAAGCTCAGTATATCACGGGCAACACTGAGCGTGCCGCAGCCGGGATGGATCCCGACAATACTGCCTATCTAGAGACAGGGACAGGTGGGAGATTCCTCCATCCACACAGTTTAGCGTAGATGGAGGAATCCGTTGCACTATTTACATCAGACCATAGAAAATCTGCAGATAATCTATAGGTGTATGGCCAGCTTTACAGACGTAAACAGAGATCAATCTGTCTACCATGGAGGAACACTTGACATTATTTTCATGTCTCAAGGAGCCCCTTTTAATTTATATCTACAGCTAAAAGTACAAGTAAAACGTTTGTATAAGCTCCACTTGCTAGCTTCATATAAGAACATAAAATATGAACATGTAATATTCCATATTTACCTGACAAATTACATTTTTATAAAATCCTGATGTATTATATCTCAGGAAACATACATATTTACAAAACCATCATACATTTCCTTTAAAATCAACATTATTTTATATAACCAAGAACAGCAGTTTTAGTTAACATTTAGGATGTTAGAAGTCCTGAACTGATTTCAGAGGGAAAGCCTACTGGTCAGGTCGCATTTCTCAGGCATTTTTTCAATAATTTTCTAATGTGTTGTACAATGTGATGTCAAACCTGCAGAAGAACCAAGTGCCATCCATGTGCATTATCAATATCTTCATGATCAGATTATTTCTAAATATTGCAATGCCATTTAATCAATAGGCAGCAGCAACACCAAGAAATATGTATATTTTTATTTCTAAAATGTAGACGCATACCCTACGTAGTAAAGAGCAGTAACAATCTGAATGTATTCAATCTGCAGTTTAAATATACATACTGTAGGTTTTTCATTGTTAAAGTATATCTATAACCCAAGCATTTTTGTTTTGGAGGCGAAGGTTACAATCCTAGTCTAGTTTTTATAGGTGTCTGTATGTCTTCTAGGTAGATTTACCCTCTCAGTTTGTCCTGGTGACTATTGTGGATGAGACAGAAAGATGGTAAATCCAAAATGTTAGATTTGGCTCCACAGAACAAAGAGGCAAGGGTCAATCTTCCAATTGAGACACCGGTTTCAGTATCAACTATTTAAGAAGGGAATTCCTCTCACTTTATAGAGATTACTTGTTTGGTTTTCAGGACAGGAAGTGAATGGATATCTCCTCAACAGGATTCAGAATGTAAAAAATAACTGACAGGGGATCTAATCCTTCTTGTGAAAATAGACTTATACTTTTAGATGTATCATACTGAGAACACATTTTATGTAAAAAAAATAAAAATATTTTTGTGTTAGATACATCATACTGATATAATCCATGATTAATTATGGAATAAGTTGTCTTTAACCTACCTGACCGAAGTGCACTGTGATGGGTCGTCTGTCTTCTCTGCTTTTAGGATCCTTTTTCTCAGCTGATGGTGAAGGTGACATCCTAGGAAGAGGTTCTTCAGAGGCAACACTGCATCCATTTTCTGCCAAATCCTGATTAAAGAACAGAGTGTTAGAAAACTTGATCAGTATTCTGAAAAGCTGTGTAATTGTTACAAATGTCAGTCATAAAAACAACAATACAACCTAATTATATAACCAGTACTAGTCCTCATTTATCAAAATGTCTGAACTGAAAACAATCAGATTTAAATCTTCATTTGTCAATTTTGTAATTATGACTAACTAAAAACCATGCCTTGAAATGTTTTTATTGTGTTTCTCTATGTTTAATGTTGATTCCATATTGCTTTTAAAAAAAAATATTTGGTTTGTTTAGTTTACATCAAATGTAGGTGGGCATTCTAGCAACCCAAAATGTATGATACATTTGTGAGTGATTATTGACCAAAATATTTTTCAATGTTTAACATTAGCGTCTAGGAGTCTAAAAACTAAGGCGAATCTCCGACCTGTATTCCAATTCATCCCAAAGGTGTTCAGTAGGGTTGAGAGGGGGTCTTTATGCAGGCCACAGTTAAGTTCCTCCATACTAGCCTTGCCAAGTTATGTCTTTATGGAGCAGGCTCCCCAAACTGTAGACACAGGTTGAAAGAGCACATTTGTCTAAATGGTACCCTATATAGTGTAGGGTGATGGTCAGATATACCCTCAAACATTCATACACATAGAAGGGAATTTATCAAAACTGGAGCAGACAAAATCTGGAGCAGCTGTGCATGGCAACCAATCAGCTTCTCTCTTTCATTTTCAAATCCTAACTGGACAAACTGAAGAGAGAAGCTGATAGGTTGCCATGCACAGCTGCTCCAGATTTTGTCTGCTCCAGTTGTGATAACTTCCCCCCATAGCGTCTGAGATCTGAGAATAAAAACAGTTTTACCAAATATAAATTTTAATTTAAAGAAAGCAACAACAATTACTTCAAGAGGAGGAAATGTGACTAAGTCATTTGGTCCACATTTGCAAGAAGCGATGAACCCCTAATACAAACTACTGCATATCTGGGAATAGCTATAAATAATATATTTATTGATTAGGTTGTTGGAGCTTTGTTAAACTCATCCTAGGCTTACCCTTAATTTTGATATAAATGAATGGAAAATGTGTGTAGGGTCCTTTTAGTTAATATTTTGAGAAAGATTATGTTTGTAATATAAAAAGTATTTTTGGGAAGATTACCATTTTAAGTGGCAACGTCCTAGAAGGATACAGGAAAAATGTGTCCATTTTCTGCTGAATGGTTTGTATTAGAGAGTCTGCATCTAAAGTAAATCATTTATACAGACTACCCGGTAAATAAATAACTAGGTAATCAATGTGGACCTTTCAGTAACTTTAGAAATCTACATGAAAAAAAACCTTTTAAAATGAACACAATTTAAATAAAATTAACATTAAAACAAAGTCCTTGAGCAAAGTCATGGTCCAATGACTTTGCTTGGGCTAGTTTTACCATATGCACGGTGTTTAGCACACACTGACACAGGTTAAGCGCACTTGATTTGGCATACATTGACATCTACTTTTTGATACATTGCATTGATGTTTGATTTTTCCACAGTTTAAGCCACAGTACCTTATTATGTTTTCCTTAATGAGCTGCAACAAAATGCAGAGCACATCAATGCAGTACATTGGTGTAAACCGGGCCTATTAAAAACAATGGATTTTAGCTTCTAATTTCATTGCACGTGCGTTAAGCACCACAGCCCAACAGACAAGGTGTGAAGGGGACATTAGGCTGATACAATGCCATTAGCCTGCTGCAGGCATAAAGAAGCATTTCCCCAGTCTACTCTCCGCCAGTGATGAGACTGTACCATTATAGCTTTGTAGCAAGTCAAAAGGTGGACGGCTGCAACAGGAACTGATCCGTGTCAACCATGTGTAAACACAGCCAGTAACTGCACATGCACCAGGATTTGCACAATTGTGTAACCTCTGCAGCATCCCAGTCCAGAAAGATGCGGACATAAGGAAAGCTGGATCAGGGAGAGTATTGTGACGTCTGTGAGAGGAAATAAATACTTATATATTATACTTACACAAGACCTAGATGGATGCACCAAATATAAAAAGATATCTGATGCTAGGTCTGCATTATTTGCTGTCTTGTACCATATAAAGAAGGGAGTGGGAAAATATCTTACAGTCCTAAACATCTGTTGAACAACATGCCATTTTATTAAATATGGAAATTGCATTCTCAGAGTTATATATTAGCAGGAATAAATTGTCAGCAAATCCCACACACTTTTGTTCCAGTTAAGCTAGAATGTATATCTACAATGAGTAGGCAAGTCTCCCATGCCCTAACTTTAACTAGTTAGGGCCTGCTTAACATGTGCTACTACATGTGCTTTGTATAGAGAGGAAGTGAGTGCGGGGGAGGGATTATTTGCGGCTTAATGATATCCTAACATTGTTTAACTATTCTATGATGATAATTTTAACAACTGTGAATAAAACTATAATATAAATATAAAGCACAAAAATTGTATTGCACTGTATACAACTGAGCCATTTCTATCCTCCAAAGAACCAAGCCAATCAATAGTAAACAAATAGTCTTTCAGGACTGTAAAGGGTGAGGCAAAAGACCTGGGCTAACCACTACAATTGGCATCACCCAAATAGTATTAGCACAGAATACAATAATTTTTTTGATCAAAGCAAGCTGATGTTTTGTCTCTGGTATTTTCTAAAAATTACAATGCAACATTGAACCAATCATTTAAGAACAAATCGATCACTTTAGAACAACCATAAAGGCCATATACTCACAATCGTGGGCCTAAAATGAACTCTACAGTCTGCATGAATAAACTGATATATAAAAAAATAAGGCAACATTATAATTCTGGCAAAAAGCTCTACCTTTTTATTATTACATTCTAGGGCAGTGGTGGCGAACCTAGGGCACGCGAGGCCCTTTCTGCTAGCACGCGTGCCCAGGTTCAGGCCCCAAAACAATAAGGCAGCCGACGGGGAGAAATCGGCGGGGGCGAGCAGGAGGAGAAGGGGGACGGAGCGGCAGGGGGTGGAGACAGAGGGAGAAGGGGGCGGAGATGTGAGAGGAGCCGGGGGACGGAGTGGCATGAGACGGCCGGAGACAGAGTGAGATCGAGGCAGAGATGAGAGGACGTGAGGAGACGGGGACGGAGCGGCATTAGACAGGGGGCGGAGACAGGGGGAGATGAAAGAGGCCTATAATCTGCCTGTTTAGAGGTCACCGCCGCTGCCTGATTGTGACCGGCCCGACTACAGAGGCGATCCGGGACGTTCAGGTCCCCCCGTGAGAGCCGTACAAGGCCGTTAGGCAGGGATGTTGAACGTTTCTTAAAACGGGGGAGTTTGGGGGAGTTGATGATGGAGAAAGATCTGGGTGTACTGGTAGATCATAGATAGCATGGAATGTCAAGTCATATTTCCTAAAGCAAGCAAAATACTTTCTTGTATTAAAAGAGGTATAGACTCCAGAGACAGAGACAAAATCCTGCCCCTGTACAAAGCATTAGTAAGACTTCATCTGGAATATGCACTTCAGTTTTGGGCACCAGTTCAAAAAGGATGTTGTGGAACTAGAGAAAGTGCAGAGAAGGGCAACTAAACTTATAAGAGTCATGGGGGAGCTCAGCTATGAGAAAAGATTAACTGACCTGAATTTGTTCTCTCTGGCGGTTAAGGGGTGAAATGATCACTATGTATAAATACAGAAATGGTCCATATAGTGAGATTGGTGCCAATTTATTCACTTTAAGGTCACTGCAAAGGACAAGGGGGCACTCTTTGTGTCTGGAGGAAAAGAGGTTTAACCTTTGCATACTTTAGAGGTTTTTTTGTTCCTCTGGATCAACAGTGGGAAACTGTGGGTATAGCGTTCTCTTTTAGGTTTTTCTTTTTCTTATCTCTTATCTCTATAGATTGAACTCGATGGACTTGTGTCTTTTTTCAACCTGACAAACTTTGTAACTATGTAATTAAATAGCAGTTTTTGAACTTCAAGCTATTGACTTTGCCTAGGCTGATATAGTGCCATCAGTCTGCTGCAGGGTAGATAAGCATTTCTTCATTCTCCTTGTGATCAGACTGCAACATTGTCACTTTGTAGCAAGCCTGACTGATCTCTGTGAGACATGGTTATACATAGTCCATAACATAAAAACTATTGCACAAACACCAGTATTTCCATTATTCTGACTTCTACAAAAAATAGTTTAATCCAGGAAGTCTCCATCTAGAATGATGCCTGCCAAAGATGGCAACAGCCTTCTGGGAATAGAGTTGGTCAAAGCATTATTAGCTGCACATACAGATTACTTAGTATGCATGCATGCAATATGGCAAATATATATTTGATGCTATGTCCACTTTGAAGTGGCCACAGACTTCAGAGAATGATCACACATGCAGGATAAATTCAAACATCTGGAGAGGTTTTCTTTCTGAAGCTTAAGCCGCAATCATTTACACTCAAGTCACCTGGTATGCATGTTTAAGGCTTTAAGTCAAGGAGAAAAAAAATGCAGTCAGATACCTATGGCACTAGTTTATCTTTGGCAAATCAACAGCAAATGGACAAAGGTTTCAGATATGACCAATAGAAATCAAGGAAGTTCGCTGTGAGGTCAACAGCCATCTTAGTGGAAAAAAAGAGCCGATTCAGTTTCATCTACTTCCACAGTAACAGATCAACATATCCTGTTGCTGACTTTTACAAGTGAACTGTTGCTGCAAGGAGGAGAGATTAATTAGATCCCTAATATCCTGGTGCAGCTGCAAAAAAAAAAAAAAAAAGGGAGGAAAAAATTGACCCCCCACAGTTCATTAACCTCCATGTTGGGTGTACTCTAAAGGATGTAACAAGTCATTGAGCATATTTCTTCTTGCAAACATTATCACTGCACCAATTCCTATGTACACAAATCTGACTCAATCTTACACTAATGATTTGCACAAGCAAAACCTTATCTCCAGTATGCTTTGCAATGGAACGTCAAAACTGTGAAAAAAAAAATCTACTAAAAACT